GCGCACGCATCGGAAACTAACAAAGATGAATAGTTGAATGATCCTCGTTGTTTTTTCACATTTCCCGCTCTTTCTTCTGGTCTATTAGTCACAGCTCACACAGATCTTTTATAGTCTATAGCCTTCCGTTATAAATACTCTGATCTACACAAAAATAATATTTCAATTCGAATCAGTAGTTTATGAGATAAGCGCGTTCATACAAACAAACAAAACAACTCTTCATTTTTATATATTAGTATAGATTACTATCATCGCTATATCAACTGTATTAAATGTAATTTGGTCGTTTTTTAAGAACTAACAATTAAACTTTCTGATTAGACATAAAAGTCTGTTTGAAAAAGCCTCATAATAGCGGTTCGGCCGTGTCCAGCGTTGTCCGGTAAATTTACGAGCAAATCCAGCTGATAAATTGTACTGTTAGCGTCGCACAGCACTAAACACTTGCTAATGTAGCGCTTTTGCTGAGCTTTCGTGTATAATCGCGTTTCGTGCTTTTATTGGGTTTGGTTCACATATTATGTACACAACATTACACACAACTATAATTCTTGTCATGTAAATTACATAGTTATTATTACACACTTCATAGTACCTTTATCTAATTTATTTTGAATATAAATATTGATCGTTCATTTATGTCCAAACCATTTGAATAAGATAGATTTATCTGATTACCTTTTTTTATTATTCGTTTGTTCTTTTGCTACACTTATATAAGATTTAATTATTATTATTATTTCTGTGCATTTAATAAAATTTAAAGTCAGTGGAATTTTTAAAGAGTTCGAGTTGAAATAATAAATGTAATAAATAGACTTTATTCGTGGATTTATTCTTTAATAAATATCGGAAAATTCGTGATTCAAGATCCAGGTGAATTATGTTGACTTCCATCTCGTTGAGAACACGTCTCACTTTTATTGCTCCCGATAACTTTTCTAGGCCAACTCTCATTTTTGTGTTGCGCTAGCTTTCAAATATTTTCGCTATCTAATTTATTTAAACAGGCGCATTTCAGGTTTTATGTTTGAGCTACGTTCCACCCCGTCTTATTAATTAAACTTAAATTTAATTATTAAATCCGGGCATACTCTCGGGATAAACTAATTACTTACCTAAATACTACCCTTTATGTAAACATTAGTTACTAACTAGTCTCTCTAATATTTCTTGCTACTACCTTCGTACTTAGTCGCACACATTATAAAAACACTAGATACTGAAAAAATTTAAACGAAAGGACTCCGTAGTTGTTAAAGGACCTAGCTAGTTTCTCGAAAGACCTCCTACGACGAAACAGATGGCGAGCGTAGTAGTATTTTAGTATTGACTTTCACATTGGGGACACCCTCCGTCTTCAGTTCCCTCGTAACCACGACTGCTGCAAAACATCCAAAACGTCGGTCCGTAGTTAAAATAAGTTAACTAATATATTTCGCGTTTTAAAACGTTAAAAATATTTTATGTAAATAGACGAAAGAAATCTAGTCGACTATTTGCTTAAAATTATAGATTACAAAGACACATGGATAAAAGAAAACATTTCCGCTTCCGAAATTAAGATACCCCTAATAGTGATGGGTCTTACATAAATAAGTTCATACTGAAATTGTATATTATGAAATAGACTTTTACGCAATATATTTTTACTAAGTGTATATTTTTAGTAACCGATGTTTTACCCTTGTCCAGAGAAGCGTGATGTTTTCCTCGTAAATGAAGAGAGGAAAAAGTGACGCGTCGAGGCGTTTAAAGGTTGGAGTAGGACATCAATCATAGAGAGGCCGAGTCAGACAGCAGTACGACAGGGAAACTGTTTTCTGACGAAGCCCACTCCCTAGCTATGCCGCATTTTAAAGAAAGATATTGCATACGGAACCACTATATTACTCCGATAAGCACTTTAGGTTTGCATTGTCTTTGTAACTCTAACTGGTTATATCCAAAATTCGAGATAGCTCTAAAATATTTAAATCGAACACTTCTAACGGCTTTAAACACGAAGTATAATAGTTAACTTTTATTTAATTTGACAAAAGCCCGTCGAAAAAAAAGGACTAACTTATCCAAAACGACGAAATGAAAGGTGCTATCGTAGCAATTTTAGTTTTGACATTAGGAACACTCTCCACTTCAGTCCCCCCATGACCACGCTTGCTGCAATGCATCAGTAAAAGTCGGGTCATAGATAAATTAAACTGAAAATGTATTTCACATTTTAAAAGTAAATGTGTACTATTCACGAAAACTACAGGCAGTATTTAGCTCTAAACAATGGAAAATTTTCTCCCGTTTATAATATAAGTAGCCGCGATATGTTTTGTAACGTTAAATCGTCCTGAACAAATACCAAAAGCAAGGAGTCCTATTTATCGAGTAGATTGTTTGACGGATCTTGACTGTTAATATAAGTGCTTCTATTTTAAGTCATAAAGTATATACTCTATGTCAGGCAAAGTCAAATACTAATGGTTATTTCTTAAATCCCAAAGGTTTTTAATATGTCTCTCTACGTATTTGACGTCTTATATAAAAGCACTTAGAAGAAATTGCTGTCTCGAGCATGTCTAAAACTTAAAGCGACTTCATTAAGCACCGGAGATAGAACATACTTGTCAAAAGAAAAATGTGCTCTCAGAAGGATCCCATTGGAGCTATTTTCTAACAAATACAAATAAAAAAAAAGTCTCGGCCGGGACTTGAATTGGCATCCATAGCCTACGGTACTGCTGTTTTAACCAATTGAGCTAGCGTGTTGAAGTGTGCCGTCTCGCGGTTGAGTTCGTGTCATCATATGTTTTCAATATAAATATATTTTTCATTTTTATAATGCCATCATGTGAAAAGTATTAGTTTTCAAAAGATCTATTTATATCAAAAATTATTGTGTGGTACAATTAAACACTTTTAACAGTTGAAAACTTAAACAATATTAGTTACCTTATTTTATTTATATCAGATGCACCGCAGCAGCCGTGATCACGTCATGATTATGCGATCTTACAATTATTAGTGCATACGATTGATTAAGGACATATTATCTCGTTATTTCTTAATGTAAAGTAAATTATATAATATATTACAAACAATTAGGGTTGCCCCGTTCCGCTTATTAATTTCAAATATTGTGCTCATTGCGCCCAGTGAGCCGGTCCCAACATTATCCCGGAATATGATCCAGATTGGCTCAGGGGCCATCCGCGCCATTTCGTAATGTCCGCTCATCAAAACTTTACGAGCGCCATCATAAACCCGCTACACAAATAATAAACTAGTTTAGGGCCTTTATCTTTAGTACAGTTCAATTTGATTTTTCTTAAAGTTGCAATTAAAAAATACACCATAAAGAGTTGAGAGTAGATAATTCATATTATACATTCATACAAAATGTTATGTGACTGTGATTTGATTACATTTGATTGCACGAGAAGAGCAAGTAAGAGTTACTACATTCTATGCTGAAAATAAATCTTGCTAAGGTCATTTGTGTATTTTCCTACTCAATTCAGTATTTCTATTCTACATTTCTTAAAAAATTGTGGGTAAACATAGAATATAAAAAAGGACTTATATGATTTCACCCAACATTTGCACTGACCGTTAGATATGTCAGCTCACACATTTCTTCAGCTTTTACCTGACATTTAGAGAGAAATCTATTGAATACTCTTTTGAGAGCCGTTTCAGCTGAATCATGGAGAAATAAGTTTGTAAATCAATAACATGAGTTACTCGCGCTTCGGGAAATATGATCAAACTTGTATGGCTGTTCGGCCTAGAAATATTATCTCAACTCGGTAAAACTCCAAGTAAAGTAAGTAAAAGAAGGTAATTTTATTTGAGGCTTAGATTTAGCTTAACAATTTCCGAATATAAGAACCCTACATTGCTAATGTATTTCAGAACTAACTTATCAGACCTCTTATTGTATCTCGTGAAGGCCAATGAAGTTAAGAATATTTTTTGGGAGATCCCCGTGACCATAGCTGCTGCAAAGCATCCAAAAGTTGGGTCGCACTTAAAATATTTTCAAATAAGTTTAAGTAATATATTTGGCGTTTTAAACTGTTAAAATACCTCAGCGACCGCCGTGCATTTGTAATCCTCAATAATGTTCGGGTCAAACGAGAAGCACTCGTTCGAGTAGTCGTTGCAAATGAATATAAATCCGTGGCAAGTGGCAACCCTGCGTTATCCGTGTAATTCGAATCGGGCCATTGAAAGGCAATAATCCCGGAACTTTAGCTATTAGGCGGCCGATTGCAGGGTTGTCTCCGCCGGATTCATTTGAAAAGTTGCCAGCGATGCAACTTAACCATTGAAATCATTTGAGCTTTCCCACTTTTAAATCGCTACGAATTGGCTTCCACTTGTCAAACGTCGCTCGATTGCCCGCTGCGGGTCCTATTTATTTCACTCCTTACTTCCTGAAATTAATTGTATGTAAATTGCGAAACTCAGACGGCACGGCAGTTATTGGTTCAAACTTAAATAACTACACTTTATACTCGTTCTAACAAAACCTTGAATCTTATTATTTCTATAGATAACGAGCCATTATCGTCCGTTTACAATTATTGTCATTTCCCGTTTTATTGAATGTTTATAAAAAGTTTTTGTATTATCCGAAGTGGGGTAAAACCTCGGCTTTCACGGGCTAACTTTTAAATAATTCTATGTAAACGCTGAGAGCTCGTCGAGAGTTGCGCGGCACCAAACAAAGTGAGTGTCTTTATCAAAAGGTAATTAAAATCGGCGAAATATAAAGGCGCCGTAACTAGCGGATCCTTCTCGTAATAATTAACGAATTCAATCTATATCTAAATACGTTTCGCTCATCTTCGTGTGACATGGGATCAGCCCCAAATAAATACTTAATGAATAAAATTAATACTCGTATTACAAAAGTTTTTTTATACGGCTGAACGCTCTTACCGCCGTCACTTGGTGTCGGAAATTATATATTGAGTATCTACAATTAAACACAGAAAAATATGGTAAGTATTTTATATTTTAAGTACTATTACTTTATTAAACCACACAATATTGGCCGTAAAATTTGTAGTGTGGGTTTTTTTAGAGTGGTAACACTTACACTTAGCTTAAACTACTTAGCACAGCTCTGTAGCTTCTTGGTCCGAAGACGATTTTTTTGGAGCAGGATTAGTGGAAACTCAGGTAATTTTAAAAATGAATAACATCCATGTCAAGCACGCAATATGAAGTTTCTCATTTAACTAAGGCGTTATAATTAAATGTTTCAGGTCGCCGGTGTGGTGGGCCGAGCTGATGTTCTAGCGTGCTTCTTCTTCCTCTCTTCTGTTTTGTCCTATCATGGGTAAGTATTTGCCGCAATTAATATAAATTATTTAATATATATGTTGTATATTTGTATGTTGTTTATTTTTCAATTTTACTAAATTATCAGCACTTCTTTATTATCTTTAGTTACCAAAACTTCTGGCTGCCCACCATCAGTTCATGATTTGCCCAAGTGGCCCCTAGTCTTATGAAGTCTGTGTATCACTGGTTTAAATAGTTGGTCGACATAACGTGCATCCTTTAAGTTAGATATCCAAGGGGTTAAGTTACATCAAATCATTAGTCACACGTACAATTTACACAAGATTTTTATTTCTTCTCGTATCGTATCGTGTACCCGGATCACCGATGTAGGGTTTTACTAAAGGTCGGTCGACATCTGCAGTAACTGCAATCAGTCTCTAGCGAAATGCCGAAATATTGAAGAAAGCGTAAATGAGGATCTAACGTCGCGAGAATAGTTTTCAACTCGCCCGATGTTGTTACCGAGTTGGCTCTTGTTTCGGGATTTCGGGATAAAGGCCTCGGTAACTTCGCCGCGTATTAGGGCCCCGGGGATGTCCCGAATTGTTGGGATTATGTTATTAGGATGATGCCGCGTGAAAGATTTCGATGTTAGCGGTCGGGCCGGATAATTTACTTTCTCTACATATTCTTATGTACGCAACGTGATGAGAACTTTTTCATTTAATTAACCATTGCTTGTTCAAGCCAAAGAGGGTAGCTAGAACTTGTCTTATATGTTTAATCTAAATATCTATGTTGACAATCGGTACTTTTTTGCTTTGAATCATCATTTTAAATAACTGGATTATATTATATTATATCATATTTAAATTTAATAACTAAACATGTCTTAAGCTATTCTTAGGTTTAAACCATACGATTCACAACCCCAGGTGTTCAGGAAGGCACCGGGTGCTGTCCAGCATACTGCTAGCTTCCCTGAGCATGCTGGCAAAGGAGACTGGATTAACTGCACTCCTGTTCAATGTTGTCTTTGACCTATATAGATGTTCTGGAGCATTATTCAGGTCAGTGATGCTTCAATTTATTTTCTTTCATTTTTGTCATTTAAAAAAAACATTTCATAGAATTTAGCAAAGTGAAACTCCTTTTTAATGTTGTTTGACGTTTTCTTTTTAATTAATATAAATTATACAATCACCAAACTAGGCTATACATTGTAATGTGCGCTATCTAGCGGTAGCTTTAAACGATATTTTAAACTAGACATATGTTTGCGTAGTGTTAGTAAAGATTTATAGATGGCGCTGTACGAAACAGTGGCACTAAAATTAAGTAACTTACACTTGTAATAATTGTAAAGAAAGAAAAAAGAAATAGAATAATAAATTTAAATCATCCTATAAAATTCAGCTGAGTTGACTTTTTATTGTTGTTTTTTTTTAAATATAAAATTATGTATGTGAAACTATGGCAATGCTTCATAATATGCGCCATCTAGCGGCATGTTGAAATAACGTTTCAAACTCTGATATATACTTGAGAAATGTCACTAAAGATTTATAGATGGCGTTGTGTGTAATAGTGACGTTAGTATTATAAAAATTTTATTACACTTAACTTCCATAAAGCGGCAGTTTTAAAGAACATTCCAAACTTCAATATATATTTGCAAAGTGTCAATAAATATTTATAGATAGCTCTGTGAGTAACATTAGGAGTAAAATTTAGCAACTTGCACGTCTTGTAAATGTAAGGAAAGAAAAAAGAAATAGATTGGGAACTTTATACATAGCTAGGTTACTTTTTTCAACTACAATTTTTTTTATTATTTAGTAAATACAATTAAATCTTGTCGTTAAAACAAGCATGAATGTAATAATTCAAACTACACATATGTATTTACAGAGTATAATCGCGTGGAGTGTCTTATGAATTATAAACTTAACAATCTATATAAGACAGTGGTCTGTGGTGACGGGATTATCCAAGTGATTTTGGCTTAAGTTTTGTTGTAATATTTCAGATCACCGGTCCGTTGGCGATGGAAAGGCGACGTGTGTGGACGGGTCAGTCGGGGTCTAGCTGCACTAATCATCTTGGCATCGGCTCGACTGACGCTGCTTCAAGGGTGTCTACCCGCCTTCTCACCCCAAGACAATCCACCAGCCTTCCACCCTTCTTTTTCAGTCAGGTAGGCGTTATTTTTGACGCCATTAATATTAACAGATCTTATTTATATAAAAACCCGTTTCCCCTCGTGGTGTATGGGGCGAAAGCATTTCTGTTTGTTACACTGATCGGTTTTTATTTACAGGCAAATAGTTGACTTCTGTGTCCTGCCCGACCGAAACAATTTATTGTTTTCCTGGGATTCGAACCCATGACATCTTGTGCTTAACGCAATGCTAGATAACACGTTTAACTATTTAGCTACATTTAGGGTAGGCGGTTATCTTACAATTAAGATTATAAGTTTTTCGCGTATGTGAATTGTTTGCTGAACATTTCAGATTAATGACATTCTGTTACCTGGCTGCTTTCAATTGGTGGTTGCTACTCTGCCCCTGGACTCTCAGCCACGACTGGCAGATGGGCTCTATTCCCCTTCTCTCCAGCATCTGGGACTACAGGAACCTTCTTACTGGTGCCGCTTTACTAGCGCTACTTGCTTTGTTGTACAGGTTGTTTATGGATTTGGAGGTGAGTTCCATCTCATTTAATACTATTTTCTATTACTAGTTTTACTTTATACCTATTTAGGTTGCAAATTTAGATGACACTAGAGAGACTCGAATCAGCATCTACAGCGCCCCGTGCTGATCTAACCAATTGACCTATAGTGCCTCACGCGTCATCTACAAATTATTTAACTTGTTGGATACATGCGTCTTTTGTTTCTTAAAAATAGTATAATGGCCTTATGACAACGCTTGTTAATTTCTGGTTAAAATTTAACTGAGGTCATTAGAGGTTTATTATTTATATAATTTGATGTAAAATTCTATTAAAAACAGGTACCTGTAACATCGAATTTAGATTAGCTAAATTCAGACAATACTTTGGTTATTAATTTTCCGTTACAGCTGCAAAGACACACTCCAGCAGTAGTAGGAGTACTTCTCCTAGTCATCCCCTATCTACCAGCTTCCAATCTCCTCGTTACTGTGGGCTTCGTTCTTGCTGAACGAGTACTGTATATACCAAGGTATAATTGTAATATATAAAATGTGATGCTGAGACATTTCTCTATTGAGATTATGTAAAACACGGTTTATACATTTAACGGTTTAAACTACGAAATGTATTCGTAAACCTATGCTTAATTTATTTTAAGTAACGCTCGCAACAGCTATGGTTTTGTTATAGTTAATATTGAAATACCTACTACTCGTGTCGATTTTTTAATTTAATAGACAGCTATATTATTTAAATCCTTATCCGCTTTTAAAGTTACGTATTTAAAATTTAGTACCCTACCTGTACCCTATCAGAACAGGTTGAGGTAAAGCCCACCACCACAAAAACCACTTCGTCTACGAAGTGGTTTTAAAGCAAAAGATACACTGATTTGAATGTCGTCGCATTTCAGCGTGGGCCTAATAATAATAACAGTATATGGAGTTCAATTGATGTGGCGGCGAGGAGCTGGTGCTAGGAGGCTGCTGATCCTGGGCGTGGGGGTGTTGGTGGCTAGTGGAGCTGCCAGGACGTATCTTAGGAACCGGGATTGGAGAACTAGGGAGACATTATTGAGGTAATATCTAAGTCATGTAAAGGACTTAATAAAAATTAATGTAAATTTTATAAAGCATTTTTAAAATATTGGAACAGTGAAAAGTACCTACTATAACCCAGTCGTGGAACAAAAAATATATTTTTATTACATAATCGTGCTCTCCGATTGCCATCGATAGTGATGATGTATCTTAAGTACTCGATGAAAAACCAGAATCGTTTCAGAGCTGACCTCGCCGTTTTGCCACACAATGCAAAGTTGCACTACAATTTTGCAAACTTCCTCAAAGACATCGAACAGCAAGAGAACGCTGTCAAACATTACAAAGAGGCGCTGAAGTAAGTAAAAATAAGAATGGAAGTATTCATTTATTTTGAAAACCTTTTTCAAGGTACACACAACAAAATAATCATTTTTTTTAAATATAGTTCTGAATTGTAGTTACCAAATAAAAATAATTCTAAGTTATGACATCGCTCATATAATTATTTCCAGATTATGGCCGAGCTACGCGAGTGCGCACAACAACTTGGGTACTCTGGTGGTGGCGTCGGGGCGCGCTGAGCACCACTTCCAGCAGGCGCTCAAGTACAACAGAGACCACGTCAATGCGCACTACAACTTGGCTAAGCTATACAGGTGCTGAGGAGTAGGGTACAGATAAGCGAGATTGTGTTTTATCTCTTTTTAACCTTTCCTGTACATTAGGCTTGAAACTGAGCCTTTTGGCTTTATTTTACATCAACTGCTAGTAAAATAAACCTTATATTGCCATCCTCTGGTATATGTACTAACACATGTTGGTATTAGATAGAAGATATAATGGAGATACAGACTCGAAACAATTCAATTTCTAATAATAATAATTACTATATGATTGATATAATTTCTACAAAAAGAAAGAAGAATAGAATAGCAGACGCTCTAAAGATGCTGGAGCGGTGCATATCTTTGGAGCCTCACTTCGTGCAGGCGCACTTGGAGCTGTTCTCGATTGTGCCCGAGAGGGAAAAGCGAGGCGTTCTGGACAAGCTCCTAGAACTAGAGCCTAGAAATTGGGAGCATTATCACTTGTATGGAAACTGGTTGAAGGGAAGAGGTAAACTTACTTGAAGCATTAAACTATTAATACTTACAATAACTTTCTGTTACATAACAAATGTCCTTTGCTTAGCAGTTTAACATTAGTTAGTAATATATAAGTAGTACTAAGCGTATTGAATCGAAGCAGTATACATATAGACCCCCGGAAAAAAAAAAAAAGGGAAATTTGAAAAAGGGGATTTTTTAGGGGGGGGGGAAAAAAGAAAAAAATTTAAGGGGCCGGGGTGGATTTTTTTTTAAAAAAATTTTTTTTTGGTTTTATATACAACAAGCTGTAGAGGTTCTTAGGATTAGGCTAAACTAATCGGAACTGCTTTCCGAAATTATTCTACTTGAATGGGAATTTAGTAGCGAAATATTTACTCTGCAGGTCTATGGCCTCTATCGCTCACCTACTACCTCAGTGCTGTGCGATTATCATTCGATGGGGCTAGGGGAAAAGTGGCCTTACCCCCTCTACGAGCAGCCAGTCTGCTGCTAAGGAGCGAAGGACAACGGACTAGGCTGCTTCATCTACTCACTAGGTAAAGAAGTACAATGATATTTTACAATTTGATTAAAGTACACAAATAGGAGAGTCTACGTCAGAAATTCATCATCAGAAAATTAGTTAATTATTTTACTTCTACGCAATAGATGTAGAGAGTGTTGGCAGAGTGTACGTAATTTTAAATATTTGTAATGTTTGGCAATAGATGGCAAAGCGGCGGTCATGGATCGCGGGGTGCAGCAGAGCGAGCGGCTGCTGCAGCAGCGTGGCGCCTACGCACCGAACTCGCAGGCCGCGCAGCGCGGTACGCGAGAGTCACGCAGGTATAGTCTATACCTTTTTTCTTTTTTTTTACTTGGAGGAATCGAATTCTTACCGGCTTACAATGGCGGGTAGAGTGTGGGGGGTCAGCCAGCTTGGTCACTACAACCTTTAAGAGCCTATCGGAAGACTTGACAGTCGCGGGCGGGAGCGGTTAATTGCCGTTGTTCCGCTGCCCACGTCTCTCAAGTCGATCCTAAGACCGCCTTCTCCCCATGCAACACCTTCCAGTCAATAATGCGGTGAGCGACCATATGCGGACGCACATCTGCGTCGCGCCCCGATTCACGAGAGCCAAGTTGTGCGCGGCCATCCTCTCAACAAGGATGGCACGAACGAGGTTGGGGAACCCCACATCGTCGATCTGACGTTGAACTCCCCCCGCCTCCCATTACTTCATTCGGGCGACTCTATGACTGGGAATCTTCTTCGCCAGGAACTCCTCGAACTCCGATAGAGTTCCATTGGGCGAGAAGTAGCCCCCTATAACCACTATTGCTCAGAATTTTTCCGCGACACAAACCTGGCCTTGCTAAAAAATATTTAGGGGGAGCCATTAGCACCGGTGATGACTATGGCGCCCATTTCGCCAATTTATGGACCACTGGGCTAAGCCTAGCTCTAACATAATGGTTCAGGTTCGCCTTAAGAAACCGTAAGGCCATATAATCAGTTTCGCGACTTCCATTGCGGCCCCGTTGGAGAGGTGGCAGTACGTTTCTGCGGGACTTTCTCCGATATTTTTGGTGGGGTGAGACTGGCTGGTTGTTGGATGGAGATCGTTTGAAGCCATGCACAAACCACGCAATGTTACTGGCCGGGCCATCTCAGGATGGTAAAACACCTAACAGCACAGCTGGTAACAGAGACCGTTAGATCCTCGCGCCGTCGCAACATGGAGGTAGACAGTTTGAATATATTGTTCTGTATAAGGTTGGGTTCTTTCTACATGCTACCGCTGATGATGAGTTGATACAAATTGTAAGTAAAACTTCCCAATTTTGCAGATAAAATCTACGTGCCTTCACCATAGCAAGTTAGAAGTCACCGCATCAGAATATCAAAACAAACCAGCGTATAGGACAATGCCCAGTGAAGAGTTAGTGAAACCCAGTTGCCAAAAGAACAATCTCCTCCTCTCACACTACAAACCCACCCACAACAAGTCCGAAAGTGGCAGTAAGAGAAAGAGTTGTTCCCTCAAGAGGAAACCTAACGAACGGGATCCCTTCGCTTTGGTTTCGGACCATTTCGTAAAGACTTATTAGTTGTAACGTTTTTTATTAGGCTATTCGACTGGTTCATGATTCAGAAGTCCAAAGTATTGTTAGTTTTATACTTTTGGAAGGGTCATTTTTTTATGTCAGTGCTAGGGTCACTTTAACTATGATTTGAAGGAGTCTATGGGTGTGGGCGTAACCGTTCTATCTTGTGTGTGTAGTCGTTTATAAAATATCTTATTTTGTTGGTTATGAAGTCATTTTTTTGTATTTATATTCTGTCAAATCCTAATCTAGATTAAGACCGTCAGGCTGTTAATGTACATTTTAGAATAAAAAAAATCTCGTTTTTAATCCTAATTCGCACAATTGGTACATATTTTCATGAACTATATGAAGAAATATTAATAAACAACAATTCTAGTTTAAGTTAAATAAAAAAAATGAGGCTTACAAAAAATAAGGCTTGCAACAAAACATTACAATGAAAACGAATCCCGACTTTTATTATGAGTGTATTTGTATGGAATTATTTTTCACGTTAATGTCTACAGAAATAACATTGATAACGCTCATGTTGGGACGCTTTTTTCTGGTTATTTTGGTTTAAAATAGGTAAGATTTCCTTAGAAATAATAAGCAAAAGATTGTGCCGATATGTGTTGTAAATATAGAATAAGAAGTCATATGAAATTACGATACAATAACAAAATAAGATTCACTCGTCGATTTTGTAACAGAAATTAATAATATGCAAATACTTACTTTCAATAAAGTTATCAGTATTATTTTAAATGTATTTCTATACGATATCATTTATAAAACCATAATTAAAAAAATGTAAATTAAGGTTACATTTTATTTGTTTTTTATGTGTTTATTTTTTTATTTTAGTTATCAAAGAGTGAATTCTGGATGTAATGTTCGAAACATATGATACATACACAACATTAATATTTTACAAATGGTATTGCAAATAATGGAACTATATAAATAAAAACACTATTTGGATTGAAAAATTATATGACACGGGCGGGATTATAAAATACATCAATTTATCATAATAATAACGTCATGTATATAAATAACTTGTGCCTCTGACACTTGAGCCGTGCAAAAAGGGCAAACAGGTCCTCGAACCTCTGAAGGATTCTTAAAGGAAGAACTCATCCTTGATCTGGGAGACCGAGGTAGCGCTAGTGGAATAGGATAAGTAGGTAAAACAATACGCGATATGTATTTTTATATCTTAAATGATTTTAATTTTACATCAAATCCCCCTGGGAAAGATATTCCATAGCCTAAATTTGTTTCTACTATTTTTCAATACTACAGACAGACATACAGCAAGATATTAGTAATAGCACTAAAACGATAATTTGTAGTATCTGGAGTTTTCGAAAATAGTAAAAATTTAAATGAAACAATTTAAACGGTTTAAATCGCGAAATGTAATAGTAAACTTATTTGCAAAGTATTTTTACTACGGCCCGACGTTTCGGATGTATTTCAGCAGCCGTGGTTGCGGGGAGGGGTCATACCTAGGATCCCATATTGTAAACACTATTTCCCAAGAAATACCACAAGCATGCCGGTAATCGCATATACTGGCCAATATTGACAAATACCAACTGCGACGAAACAGATGGCGCTAGAGAGAAGTTTATTATTATTACTTTGATATTAGGAACTGCATTTCGCATTTTTAACCGTTATAAGTAATTTTTAACCCATGACCACGGCTGCTGCAAAACATCCGAAACATCGGGCCGTAGTTAAAAATAATTTTCAAATAAGTTTAACTTACATATATCGCGTTAAAGTGTTTTATTTAAATGTGTAAGTACTAATCGCGTAAACGAACGAACAGACAGTATTTAACGATATTTTTGTCAAAACGGTGTCGGGTTTTAACTTCGAGGGTAGATAATAACGCAATTAAGACATTAGGCAGTTTTATCATAGAAAGTGAAATTATCACGCTTTTAGAAAGTTGCGTAAATGGCTCAAAATGAGACGTAGATCTGCGCAGATTGCTTTTGATAACATTTACTACCAATTAGAATTATCATATTGTTATGTAAGGACTTTCTTAAGTCTTAATATGGCAAGGCGATCGGCAAAAAAAAGCAAATTATTTTTTTATAAAAAGGAACCAACAGCTTATAACATGGAAACTAAATTCAAATCAATTACCTATATCAAAATATTATGAGTTACAAGAAGCAGCCTGTCCAACATACATAAATTATTTATAAAATAAAACTTTATGGACTTTATCTCTTAGTAAAGAGATACTGACAGAAGTTATGAGTTTTGCGTTAATAACGCAATTGTAAATTAATTTGGATTCAATTAAATGACAGATAATAATTGAACAATAAAAGAAAACGATTTCCGAAACGCAGTACTGGTCAAGGTGTCTTGCGGAATATGATCTCAATTTATAAAAATATTTAATGTCTTTAAATTTTCAAACAAAAAACAATTTATAATTTTGTAGACATTAAATTTGACCTTTGTGGCCTAATATTGAATTTAGTGAAACATATTTCATTCAAAGAATTTGCTACTTAATGAAACGCGTTTATTCTTAAATAAATAATAAAGAGATAATTAATCGAATATTAACGGAAACGAATTATTCAATCGAGGTATCTCCGTCAATTCACGGCCACCGTTTACGAAATTCGGTTAACCGCGAGATTAAAACAATTTGCTTTGGACGCTTTCTACACTCCGTAGTTCCGATACCACGACGAAGATTACTAGCTTTCGCTCGCTATCTGCTTGCAAAAGTTCCTTTTAATATTACCAAAAACTTTATTTTAATTTTAATAATCGAATAAACACCCAAAATGTGCGGTATGGTAATTAACATTTTTTGGTAGGTAGTTGCGTACTTTTGGAAATTAGCGTGTGAATACGCGCTACGATACGATACGAGATAATTACAATTACTTATATTATATTTTTTCCGTCACTCGTAGTAAGGTTGTAGTAATATTATTAAATAAACACACAAACTATTTCCATTACTTTATAATAGTAAAGATTAATTGCACATTAGAATCGATATTTACAAATATCGCTAAAAATATTATTGTACTATTTAACAGTTGTCGGCTATTTTCTATATTCACAACCGCTCGTTATAATTAATTAATTTGGTATTAAACTGTTATACTCTTACACCAAGATACAAGATCACTTAGGTATGGTATGGTCAAAAAAAAATATAAATAAATGATTCTTAGTAGGTACTATTCAATAATTTAAATATAAACTACGATATCGCTCTCGCAAGAATCGGCCCCTTGACCGTGCACCGACGTTAGCTGTTAGCAAAATAGCAAACGAGATCGCTAAACAGTGTGTTTACCCACCCCGAGCTATAAAGACGTGCATCGAAGGTATTCGAGAGAAAGGCTCACGAACACGAAAATGCGGGCGATTTGCATTTTCACTGTAGCTCTCTTAGCCGGCGTGCTAGCCGATGAACCCTGGGTTCAGGAGGAGGACCTGGACGAACACGACGACTATCACATAGACAAGCGGGATATCCACATTGACGGGCCGTACGATGAGCACATCCGAGTGAAGCGAGGCCACGGAAGGTCCAAACGCTACAAGCGCCAAGTCCACCAGTACGAAGTGTACGAACCGTTCGAGGAGGGCTACCCGGCACCTTCCTACGAAGAAATGTTAGCGGCCAGCGCCAACCACTATCACAGATATCTGCCCCCGAACACTAGGATCGCCCGCCATCTAACGGGCCAAGTGAACGCTGGGCCTCTCACGTTCGGAGTCAGTCCCGAGCCAATAGAAGTCGTGTCGCCTCCAGTAAATTTATCGCCCGTGCATAGCACAAGTCCTGTGCAGTTTAGCAGTCCGCTAGTAACTGAAGATAAGGATTTGACTGCGGCTGCCGGTCACGTAGTGGTGAAGCACAACCCGCACGTGATTAGCCATCATCAGGGCTTCGGACATGCTAACCATGGTGGACATTATGATTCGCACGGCGGAAAGGTACGAATGTTTTAATGCCATTTTATAGTTCACAGGAGATGGTAAAAAGTAACTGGTAAAAATACTTCCGTTGTAAAGTATTGATGTGTTCTTGAATAAAAACGTAAAATGGGAGGAAACTATTATAGAGAAAACTTATCAAAATCCCAAAATTTACATCTCACTAGGTTATGAAGATGCTATAAATAACGCGCTACAAATAACTCGATGTCATTAGCACTTGGTGTCTGTATGTCCATTTCGGTGTCTAGTATAAACTATAGTCATATACATAAGTTTTGAACATTATCTACACAAGCCCCGTATTGATCATAAAATTATTTATCTTATTTGTTTAACTACGGGCTACTAGTTTTGCGAATATTCTTAATAGGTAGCGCATGTTACAAAATAAAGTGTTTATGTTTTATTGATATAACTTTCACTACTTAAGTAATATAGTCAAGAAATAACAATAAAAAGTCTTTAATTCCTGTTATTTATACTGGAAAGTAAGTTGAAAGTATTTTTGTAAACGTTGGTAATTTAAGTAATAAATACAACCTTAAGCTTTAGTTTTATCTCAAATCATTTCAAAAAATTGTAAATAAGTTAACTAGTATATTTCGCGTTTCAAACCGTGAAAGTTGAATTTAAATGTGTACTACTAACGTAAACTACAGACGAAACTTAAAATAGCTTAACTTGCTAAAAACAATATGTTATGACAGATGACATACAATTAATTAAAACTTTTATGTTTGAATGTAATGTGTCGGTGAATTGGTGGTGTTATTAATCGGCGTTGATAATCTTATTCCAGAAAGTCGAAGGATCAAAGTCTGACCATTTCGTGGACAAGGGTGGTAAGGGGCACAAAACTGACGAACACCATCGCAAGGAGTACGAAGAGGCAGCAGGGAAGAAGAGGAAACACCACGACCTCGCCGGGCACAAGGGCCATCACGAAGAGGAGGCTTTTGGCCAAAGAGGTGCCCACTTCGACGAGAAGAAGGGACACAAAAAGGGGCATAAGACCAAAGGTTCACCAAACCAAACTTTATTTTTTTTTAGAACTACAACTATTCCATTAAACAAAATACAATACACAGTACACAATAGATGAGTTATGCTACATATAACTTGATATATTGAATACTATAAATGAGAATTGAACATTTAAAATTTATTTAAAATTTAGTGCCTTATAGCATTTAATGTTGCACTTTCAATAGTTGATTTTAAAATTGCATCAATTTATTGGATTAATTATCTTAATTTCAGTTAACCTTTTTTTTTTTTACTTTAACGGTTTAACCTTCATGTGATAGGAATTGAAAAACCAAACTGAATAAATAACCTTTCGACACCTCAAATCACTTCTCGTCCGTTTCCGCGGTTTTAGACTTTCGTATCAAATCAATTTCGCATTGCGTCACAACTTCTAGATACGTCCGTGAAAAATGAGTTGTCGGGTCACCCGTTCGACTGGAACCAAATAACTTTATGTAACACCTGTTACACTTTCGCTGCGACCGCAAATCTAACAAAAGCTCGTCCACTCGTCGGAGCGTTGCATCAATGTGCAACGTTAATTGAATTTCAATATTTCGAGATCGACTCCGACGCAAGAGTATGCCGAAATGTAACAATACAGATCGAATTATTAAGACATCGTCCCGAAATTGCATTTCGGTAACCGCAATGGATATATATAATGCGAAGTTGCAAAAATTCAAAAGACCTCGACCGGATACTATTAGAAAAATTTAATTCAATAGGTGACAAAAAGACAATCGTTTTAGAGGTTCGTTAGGCCAAACAAACAAGGTCCAAAAACCTTTTAGATGGGATTTATTAGTATTTGCGTCGGGCAACTAATGCGTTGGGTAATAGCAGAGTGAAATGAATGCAAATTTCTCTTCCACTCTCTGTATGTAATCTGAACGCTAATTCACATCACGATGCAGAATGTATAGCTTTCATTAATTGACCTGACTTCATGCATAACATTAAGTCAACGAGAATTAAGGTTCAGTTTGCTTTTAAAATATTTAGTAAAAAGGGCCTCATTGGAACTGATAAAGCTAAGATCACTATATATTTTTTTACATATTGCACGGTCTGTAAGCACGATGGACTTTTATATTGAAAAAATAAAGAAAGTACTGTTTCCCATCCAAAATGTACGCGAGTTTTGTACGGCCCGATTAACGTTAAACGGTTTAAAGCTAGCGTCGATAGCTACTATACTAAACCGAGTACGTTTAACGCAACATCTTTTTTATACCAGGCTTCCACAACAAGTACCACAAGGATGAGTTCCACAAAGAGCACAAGTTCTACGATGACTTCCACAAAGGTGGGGAGCACCACCGCTACGGCAAGTTCAACGCCCGCCATGCCACGAATGAGAGTGGGAAGAAGAAGGCCCACCACGTCAACGCAGGACACGACATCGTGGAGAAAGGAAAGAATGGATACAGGTAATTCCTAAATGATCCAGTAAGCTTAGTTAAAGGCTAAAGGGATTTTTGATTGATCGCGCAAATCTAAAAAAAAACTAAGTTGGATAGACCACTTATCGAGGAAAGCTTTGGTGTATGGTATTCCATGAAACTGTGGAAAAAACGGAAAACATATTCGTATTTGAAAGTTTCCGCTGCGTGAGCTGCGAAAACGGTTCACTTAACGAAATAAAATTAAAGACAATGTAAAAAAAAATGCAAATGCAATGCAAAAACGACGAAGTTGAGGTTGTTTGAAAATACATTCTCATGACCAAAATAACTATTTTATGTGGACAAAGTCGTGAGCACAACTATATTGAATAAAAAAAAACTGTGTAAGTAATCAAATAACTAAAAAGAAGTAAATGGGTTTGTAGTATATTAAGGCTTTAAAACATTTGTTATTTTTACAGCAAAAAGGGGCACGTCGACGCGGACCACCGAGGCTACAAAGGGCAATCGGGTCACGACGAGCATCATCAGCACCACTCCCAACATGGCAAGAAAGGCGGAAAGGAGGGAGGTTCTCAGTGGGGCTATGCCAAGAAAGATTAGGTCCTAACGAGCTGTATATAAGAACTATTATTGTTTGTAATTGAACGGTTGTTGTTCCTAAAAGAGTTGTACGAATTTACATATCTAATGTTTATTTTTTATTACGCGTCTTAAAACAGCTGTAAAAAGACCTTTTTAGATAAGAATTACTGTATATAGGCCAGAAGTGTAGTTATATTGTTAACACGTTTTATGTATTTTCTACTGTCGGGCTAGTTACAGAAAACTGTATAAACTAATCGCGATGAGTTTTATATTTTTGTAGTACGTGATAAATTTGTGCCTTAGCCATTATTGCAGTTTCATTGAAACCTGCCCCCGAAATACATCGCAAAGATTATTACAACACGAATTATACACGTATAATAGTTACAAAGTCAAGACGTAGAATAATATTATACAAAAAATATTTATAAATGTATTTTTCGTAAAAAGGAAATATAAAAAGGAAGCTAAAACAATATTATTAGAGTGGTCTATTATCTCCTTATTCTTGTTCAAAAGTTTGGGTATTGGCGGCACTAGTATGGCGGCAAGCAGACCTCTGGTGCACCCTTCTTCGGGTCGTAATGAGTGACGTAGATGGAAACTTTGTGGTGAGGCCTTCGCGGGAAGAACACCCTTTGACCCGCATCGTCTATAAACTCCGTGTAGTCCATTGACCATTCTAGTTTCATGCCGCACTTTTCACATATTTTAGCTCTAGAAGTTAACACGAGATATGATGAAATCTAATTTCTTACTTTAAGACACTTAACACAACTGGATTAAAGTTATTTTTTTTTCATTTTCATTTCATTTACACCTATCAATACCTTTTCAATGCATGTGACAAATGAAAATATTTGATCGACACTCACGTGTACTGACTGACAGCTATCACCTGTACGAGAGGATAACGCAGCTCTTCTGCTTGACTGAGAACCTGACGAAGCAACATTGTGCCTACACCTTGGCCGGCTACTTCCGATGCTGTCGCGAGGACTTCCACCTTTACGAGGGTTATTTATTTTGAAAGTATAAACGGTAAAACTATAACCGGACTAGCGCCATAAATACTTACATCGTACAAAAAAGGGACATTGTACTTCTTGTACAAATTGGGACTCCGCAAGCAATGAGCTATGAAGTACATGCGGTTTCTCTCGGGCCTGGAAGGAGTACAGTGGGCCCATTCCTCCAGCTCATCTATCAACCAGGGCATGACCTTGTTGGCCACGCAAACCCCTACTAGCTTACGTTCGTTCGTTCTCGGTATGTACTCATATGCTAGGTATCGGTCGCCTAAAGAAAAATACATGACAGTAACCCAAATTATAGTGACAAGGTAAAACGGAAGGCTTGCAACCTAGTTGTATTACCAGAATATGAGTATTTGTCAGTTAAAACGTCCAGATAGGACGAGTTAAGGCACATCCAGAGGCCGATGACGCTGGGCTCCCGGGGCCAGAAGTGGCTGAACAGGAACGACCGAATGAGCTTGCCGTGCTTATTCGTTCCTTGTTCGATCGTCACGTTGCGGATGTCGAAACACTACATGGGACACAACAACACATGGGACGTGAGTACAGAGTATATCAAAGCAACGTTAAAGAGTGAAGAACGAAACTCAACTGGTCTCTTCTCCGGGCTAAAGAAACAAACATCGCACATGGAGGGTTTTCGGAACCGTTTCCATTCCAAGTTGTAGGACTGACGTGGGATTTTGAATTTCAACACGCTATTGCTTAAGGCTCTTAAGCAATTCATGTTTTATGAGATCTATTGCCACATTTTTAAATTTGTAAATTTTGAATCATTTTACGGCATTTTTAATTTTGGGGTTTTTCTTGATCTGACAGAAATTTATTGGAATGATATTTCAAAATGTCACAGAAGGAAATTTACAGATATACTTAAAAAAAAATTATAAGATTATCAGGCATCGGGTACTTTATATTCACGCACCGACCTTTATTACTACTACATACCTACATAAAAAAAAAACACAAATAGAAGAAATTTATTAGTTTATATTATGCCGTATAGCAATTCGATATAATTAGTATATATAACTTTAATGTTCAATAGGTTGTATAAACCTTTTTTTACATGTAACAATTTATAATGATATACGTTAGCACAGCCGTCACAGCGACCGTCATCATGTTACTGTAAATTATTTCTAATATTTCGATATTTTTATTTTTCCGTCTAAATATTTCACAGCCGTCAAAATGATAAGCCGGTGAAAGTGAACTTTTGCAGTGTTCGTAAATTTAGGGTTAAACTATGACAATCGCGTTCAAACCAATAAAACTGCTAACTCTGGCGGTTGGCAAGTCGCCGGCTTATCACCCCCTCTCTCAAGCAGGTTTTAGAACCTACGCGGACAAAAGCAAAGCTCCGACGACCACCAAACATGTTGTAAGAATCTCATGCACATTGCACTTTGTAAGAATATCTTGTTTTAGGAGTTATCATACTCGGTTATCTAGACGTAAAGTGTCTTCTATCTCCAATTTTAGAAACAATAAATCCAACTAACGTAAAAGTTCATAACCTACCCCTTTATTAAAACTTGTAAGGCGGGGACACAAAAAGAGGAGCGTGTTCGCGTCCGCCGAGCGCGACCGATCGACGTGCCCCGAGTGCTGCGATTTGTGAAAGAGCACGCGAAGACGGCCTGGCCCAGTCTGCGCCAAAACAACTCGCAGAACATCGTCCTGACAGACTTCATGGCCAGGACACTAGCCCAGGGTAACTTCGGGTTTTTAAAAACACGATTCGAATGCGCGAGCTTTGGTTATTTAAATAAAATGACAGGTCACTCAATGCTTGCTGAACAGCAAGAGTCGAAGCGTAGCTGGGGAGAGATCCGTGGCCTGGCGCTGAACACAGCGGTTTGCCCCTGGGATGCCGCTCTTCTAGAGAAGTGGGCCCGCTGCGTCCAGTGCACGAGATCTCGTCAGCTCATGCTGTTCACTGCGCACTGCCTTCGGGCGCCTGGCCTTCACGACAAGTACAATGTGCACGCTGTTTTGCAGGTGAGACCATCTCATTCTCTTCTAAAACATCAATATACCTTCGCCTTCAGACTTTGTCAGGAATATAACGCATCGTCTATACCCCTTCAGGTAGTCTTACTTGTGCCACCAAATGTACCAAAAGCGTCCGAAGTAGCTCGTCTGCTGGCTAAAAATGCGTTACATCGAGGGCGTGACACCGGTTTCCCTGTGCTACGGTTTGACGTTTCCAGTGAATTTGTGTAAATACTATTTCACTAATTTCCAAAACATCAAAACTTTACCTAACTAAAACTAAATCGTAAGTTTATCTTTATAAAAAGGATTCTCACTCTTACTTCTTAGTTATATAGTTAGACAGATCAATATTATCGCAAGATTGGTATATCGTTCTTTTGTTTTAGCGAAAAGGCCCTCAGCGGTTTAAATCTGCAAAAAGAGTGGGAGTTCTTCTACGAAGTAACCCCGGATTCGATAAAGGAATGCACACAGACGGAAACTTTGAAGGAAGACAAAGCTTCGCCGGCACAAAACTCCGACTCCAAGCCAATTAACCACATCAAAGTCTATTCGGCTTTTCCCCTACGAAAATAATGAATTGTCGATTGCTGGTTGACGGCTGTTAAATAAATGATCTGATAATGCTTTTTCTCTAAACCCTTATATAGACTAGAATAGAGTACGATAACTTCTTTTAGCTGACTAAAAGTGGAGAAACTTGATAAAACTAATGTTGGTTATATTTATCTTAATGTTGGTATAAATTTAAAAATATAAAACAAATATTGTTAAATATTATGAACTAGATACAAAGGCAATGTACATGTAAAGAAAAGTTAAAAAGAAGAGAAAAGACTGTTTTTTCTAATTTGACGGACATTTACATATTTTGTGCCCACCTCAGTATGTAATACTATAAATGTAAAACGTGAGTTAAAGCCGGCAACTTGTAGTGTCTAAAGTAAATCATGTTTAACAAAATTTAAAGTACTTTTCATAAAAAAACATATTTTTCCTAAAAACCAATATACTGAAGACGACGCGGGCGACAACTAGTGTTAAGATTCTTGTTCAAAAATAATATTTACATTGAGCCCGTTTAAGCGTAACTAGGAATGATTGAATTTTCATCAGCGATTTGTCAGTGAAGGTCACTTGTTGCAATCTATAATAATGCAAGGTAGACAACATTTTTACAAAGATTACATAAAAAATTGACAATCAATTGCCTAATAAATATTAATTTTGTAAACATTATTTAATATTTTTTCAAGTGAATTTTTTTAAAGACAAGTTACTATTAGCGTTTCTAATTTAAATATTATAATATGGAAATTAAAAAAAAATTGCCATGATCGATCTGTTCTTTATTAATAGTAGCTGGTCCGGCAACTATTGGTTGTTTGCAAGATATTATTATTATGTTGATACAACTGTAACAAATAATAATTGGTAACAACGCGCTTATTTCGACCACATTTGACAACCCTAAAAACGTTTCTTGCGAGTTAATCTTCAAATAGGCATACACTGTCGCGGACATCTTTCTGCTCATTAAAAGAGTACATATTTTTGGTGTCTCGAACCGATTTCGCAGCGCACGGAACGGAAGCCCTTAAAGAAGAATAATTTTCTATTTGATCCCATTGATCGCAGCGTTTTCTTATATAGCATAAGCCTCCATAAGTGGTCTATCCAAAATAAAAATCACGTTTCAAGTCAAACTAGTTAATGCCTCCTATGGTGTGGTGGGATTATAACTCACAATTTAAACAAACACTTCTTCAAAATTAGTAAAGATTATTACGAGTTAACGTATTTCACGTAGGTAAACTAAGTGTTGTCAATCAAACTTCAAATGGCCCTCACGATAGAGTAGACAGTGAGTAGGTACAGATGAAGTAAATGGAGCCAAGCACGTTGTGAAAGACAATTAGTTTGCAATCGTTTTGTTATATAAAACTCAGTTAGTTTCTTGTATAGGCTAGTCAGACGACTGGGATCAAAGAATTTTTTGCGGTAAGTTCTCTTTTATCTCTTACATATATAGTTTACACTGTTCATGGTATGATACAAAGCTCAATACAAAAATACCTAATCTGTAGTTCAGTTATAAGCATATTCAACAAAAAACAACTCGGTTTGATTTTGAGAGTAAATATTGGTAACGGTAAACTTTAGATTAAATTTCATCAAAAAATTAAACCCTCTTTAGGAATGATGGAGTGGGTACTTTTGGGGCTGAGTATGCTGGCCGTGGCAAAGGGAGGAATCTTACCAGATCTGATGGAGGCCGATGACACGATGGCTGTAGGCTCATACATCAGACTAGCGAGATCTGCCGGGGTGAGAGTCACTTCGATGTAATATCTAACACCACTAAAACTTGCGTATTACAAAAGTTTGAAAATATCGGTGCATAATTGCTATCAAGTATATCCAATTTAAGATATGGACAATAAAAAGGCACAGAAACACACGTCTAACGGTAGTCTCTTTTCCCAGCCAGAAGATTATCACAAGTCCTACGAGAATGAGGGCGATGGAGAGATAGGATATTCGCGGAAGAAGACGGGGGGTGGCAAGAAAGGATACCAGCACTTCGACTCGTATCACAAAAAAGCGGGGGATAATTACGAGTTTGAGAAGCAGGACTCGTTCGGGCTGGACGATGAAGGTCAAGCTGGGGCTCACAGCCATCAGAACGAGAAGAAAGGTGAATCAAAACACCAGCAAAAACGATTAAAGAGGCCGCTTAAGTTCGTCAAGCGATTGCTTAAATGGATATTTTAATTTACAATTATTTTATAAATAAAATTGTTATGTGGCAATATTTTTTAAATTTAATAGAAGTAATACTCGTACCCAGCTTAAACATTACCGGTATCTGTTTTGCTTGTAGTGAAGTTTCCCAACGAGCTAAATTTGAAATAAAAAAAGTGCCAATTGCTATTTACAGCCGACGCATACAGGGAACCAGAAAGCGATGACGATGAACAAGCAAAGCCAAAGAAAAAGGACAACGAAGAGTTGAGGTAAGGAAAAATATTATTATTGTCCTTTAGTTCGCTAACTACTCTGCCTAGAGGACCATTTTATTTATAAGAAAAAATTGCAGAGAGGATCGTAATGAACCAGATGTAGCTGGATATGACCGTGCTGATTACACATTACCGGAGAAGTACACTTATGGCACAGGAGAAGAATATAACTTTAAGTAAAAATAGATGAAACTTAACTTTTGTTACGGAACTGATTCATAGAAAAAACCAAAGAGATTATCAACAACGCCATCTATAATCAATGGGTATATATTAATGTTAACAGTTTTTTGTAGTAAAATTTGAAATTAGATAAATCTTTTATTGTTAATCCTCATAGTACCTACACTAATATTAACTCTATTTTTATAAGTTGAATTAAATATGTGAACTTGCTACATTATATTATTTAAGTTATAAGTCGAATTGACGATTGACATTGTGCATGGCGACGTCAAGCAATGACAGTCACACTTTCAAGTCCAATGATTGCTATGTTTTGCTTTTGTGAGACAGCTGGAGAGCTTGCGACTACGAAGTTGATCGAAATAAAAATTATATTAGACCCGGTTGCGACAACATGAGACTGTCGTCTACCCTAGCCTAGTATTGTGATGTGACAGTAGAAACTTTAACCATGGGTTCCACCATCATCGAAATAAACCTAGTAGCGATATTTTTAAACTTCATACAGTGCGCTCTTACGGGTAAGTAGACGATTATTTAATTGAATCAATTTATCCCACTGGTATTCTAGAGCTTTATTCTTTTTAACAGAGGATATCCGGCCATGTAACATGACCATTCTGGGGCAGTGCCCGGGCAAGAACGAGATATGTAAGCAGAGCAAGTGCGAATGCGACGTAGGCTTCCTAAGATATTATGATGAGTGCATCTCAAAAGTCACCGATATTTCTAGCAGATACGACGTCACTGCTGCCATAATCTCTATATTCACTATAGCGATAGTCACAGTCGGTTTAGTTGTAGTCATTAGGAAGTATAATCTAATTGAATATGTCCGTCAGAAGATAGAGTTACGAAGGACTCACAACATTATGTATGAGGATGTAATGATTGGACACGATGATCCCCCATTGAGCCCCTAGTTAAATTATGTCTATATTGTAAATTGATTTGTTTACAAAATATGTACAGATTTATAATTTGCCTCTCTAAATAATTACCGGTAACATATGATGCAGCAAAATATGGAATGTATGTACATATTTCTAAGAATGTGCTTTTTAAAATCTACGTGTCTGAGGATAATAATTAGTTTTTCAAATAGTTTCATCACATCACATGTATAACTTGTTTTGATTAAGATTTTATATTTTACTGCAGCATACACTTGATACCTCTAGTACTATGCACAAATTGATAGTATATGTTTGCTAAGTGGATTTAATAATCAATAATTACTATTTTCTTAGTAATGAGAAATAAAATTTGTAAATTAATACATTTACAATAATTTTATTCTTTCCTTATCATTTACTTTTACACTATTTTCTTAACAATAATCATAGTCTTCTAACACAAGTTGGAAATAAAAATGTATGAAATTAATATAAGAAAATGATGTATCAGTTTATTTCCTTTAAAAAATAAACAGGAAATAAAGAATATTGCTAATTAATTTAAATTTGCTCAAAGTCACCAAAGACTGAATATTCAAAGCCTTTTGTTGAATTACTTTTCAAACATATTTTTATGTGTTATTTATAGTTAACTGTACACAATTTTATTCAGACGATAGTTTAGGTGTGTCCTTTACTTCTTAAAGCATTTGGGAAATAGCTTAACTTTGTACTGTCATTATTGGGATTCTCCTTATCAATGCTAACAGGAAAATGAGTTATAAGGTAAAAATATTTGAAGCTTAAGTTCACTTTAAAAGATCTTTAAATGTCATTATTTTTATCATAAGCATGCTTTGGTTTTGATAGAATAAAACACAGTAGCATAAAATGGTGTCTTATCCGGTTTAAGACATATATTATACAGACATATAAAATTGTTATATGTATCTCTATGCTTACCTTTGTACATAACTTTGCTTACATGTTGTTCAATAAATAAATATTTGTATATTATATCATATAAAAGTTATATACATATTTTGAAAATAAATACTCTGTGATATTTGATTAGCATTTCCTTTGTATACTCTCTTCTTTTTTAGCTGAAAGGTCTATGAAACTAATCTTCTTATGAAAGGCGTAATATGGAATGATGTCCAGTACTTCATTAAATTACCAGTCAGCAATATGACTGCTGTCAATGGCCTTGGACATCTGTACAAAACTAAAAAAGAGCAACAACATTTAAATAATAATAGATCTCAGGTAACAGATCATATTTTGGCACTTTTACTGTTCAATTTAACATTTGCTAATATTCAAATGAAGTGCATCTTATTTTAAAGCAAGGTAAGGTACATAGACAAACGCAATTAATAATTACAAAAATAGTACTAATCTCTGTTTTATCTTGTCTTGACACAATATAATAGTTCTCAAAACTCACCAATAAGGACATTGTAGAATACTGCAAAACTATAGAGAAACACAAAAAAGTAGTGTATCAGTCGGGTTTCTGCTGAGGTCTCATGTGTGCCCCATACTAATGTTGGCAATGTAAATAATAGGCTTGTATTGGCCAGAGAAAAGGACTTCAAAACTTGAACGGCGCCCACTGAAACATAATCATATGATGATAGAATTGTCACAAATATTATAAATAAAATAATGTACATGTAAGGCTAGTAATTGTATTAGTGATTTTATAGTGGTGTCTTACATACCTGATATCAAGTGTATGCCCAGTCTGTTTTACTAATCAGTTTAATGAACAAGCAAGTACATCACTTCATATTATGTTCTTTATTTAAGCCTTATCATTTAAACTCCAACACATTTATATATATATATATATATACATATATAGACTTATATGTTCTACTTTACGCAACCTACCTTCAAAATTTGTACCAAATGGCTTGATTAAAACCATAGAACTATGTACTATTAATATAAATAATGCAATCCCTGGAATTTTAAAATAAGTAAGTGTAAATATTATAATAATAATAGCAAGAAATTTATTTCAAGCATATAAGTATATTAAGTAAATTGAAATAAATTCAACAGACCTGTAAAGGTAGAAAGAAATTGTATATAAAAATCCTTTTCCCATATGAAGAGATCGACTCCATCTTTTTCTTCTCTAGCCCAATCTAAACAATTTGTTTTAAATGTTTCTATGTGATTTAGCAATACTTGTGGTGGTAATTTTCTGAAAAATATATCAAACATATTTATACATTAGTTGGTTATTTAAGTTACAAAAGTTTATGTAGTTAAATTGACACAATCAAAGTAAACTAACTTATCCTCTCATCATCCTTTAGTGCCAATCTGCGTTAGAACATAATAGTTTATTAAGAATAGTTATCAAAACAACTTACATATATGTCGAATTAATAGTGCTGTTGTTTTTGATATCACAGACTGAGTTGACAGCAATGTTAAATAAACTATCATTTCTCCATACACCGTAGGTCTCAAGCATTATAAGTATTATGAATAGTTTCCAATAGGCCTGTAATAAATAAAACAACCTATAGATTATGTCTGTAATGAGTACAATTGATTAAAGACAAAAAACATGTATACTGTTCAGGTCAAAGGGTAAAAAAACAAGAACTTACCTTGAAATCTGTGTTGAATATGATATGTCGCTGGGCCTCTTTAGATATCAAAACAAGGTCTATCATAACTATTGAGGGGTCATATTCTATATACTTATCAACAATGCATTTGCAGGATTCCTGTAATTTAATTTAAATTAACAACAAAGACTTAAAAGTTTTTCTTGAATAAAAGAATATTTTATTGACTTACACATTTTGTCAGTTTTAAAACAGATGGGCCATAATTCCTGTACAATGCACTAACAGCTTCACCACAATTAACACATCTATAATGTTTATCTTTCATTTTTCTTTGTATGTTTGAAGGAAAAACAATTGATGAAAATTTATGATTGAAACATAATATAGTCGCCTTTTTTACTGCCTTGTTATATTTGTTGCTTTTTTAGTCATAATTTCGTGTTGCAAATATTGCCTCGATTTTTTAATTCATTCGATTAACGCGTGCTAAAAATGTACCAGTAGCTTAATTTTTATTGTTTATAAAACCACTGATCAAGTAACAATACAACAACATTAAAGAATCAGCTGAACAACAAACTTCCGCTGTCCGCAACACAGATAATAAACGATGTAGCATTTGCTTTTTGACAAATATGTCATACAAACGTCAATTACAAGTCCGAGCTTCATGAAGTGTTTATCGTCATCTATTGGGAACGAAATATGATATGTAATATGTCTTTTAGTAGATGAATAATTCATTTCATGCATATTCAACACTTTCTACATTGGAAATTACCACAGAGTATAAACAAGCAATATACCTATTGTTCTATAGTCTATTTTTTCTTACTTGGCATTTTTGGTAAACAAACACAATTTACACAAAATCGTGATTTTCTCACAAAGTTTACATTAATTTACACCGAAAACACTTTGAGACACTGTTTTATGTAGTAACCTTAAATTCACTTGGTAAAACCTCAATTTCATGGTAAAATTAATCAACATCTTAAAAAGTAATTTACGCAAATGTACTTACGAATTAAAATTTCTTGACAGTAGAAGGTAAAAGTCCCACCCATTCACGAAACTTGAAAATTATTGCAAATATCGAGTTAAATAATAATCAGATAAAAAATCCAAAAGTAAGTCGACAGTAAAGTGATTTTAAATATTGAGATCGTTTGGTCCATTTCTTTAACCCTATGTCATCGGTGGCAATTATTACACTCAATAAAGTCACTAAATCGCTCTATCTTGAATGGTTATTTGTCAAGTTAGAAAAAATACAGTATTCAGTTTTTATACCAATAGAAGACAATCTATTTTTTGAGAAGATGAAATGATAGCATTACCAGTATACTTCAAATATTTTTATCTAAGACCTTTTCAACATGCAACATATAGATAAATAAATTTATGAAATATGAATTCCGGAATGAGAATATGTATAATATTTGTATGTAGGCTTATAAGAATTAATAATGACTATTTATTTAAATGTGTCATATAGGAACTTGCGACTATTAAAAAAACTATAACTCATAAACACAATCGTCGCTTTTTCTGTTCCTGTGAGTTTAAATCTTTAAAACTACGAAACGGATTTTAGTAGACACAGTGATTCAAGAGGAAGGTTTATTTATATGTATAATATCAATTAAACAGTGGAAATATACTGTTATTTTTAAAGTGATACCCTAAAAAATTCGATGTTATGTCCGATAGGTTTTTCTCTTATGGATATCACACAAGAACTATTTTGTCATTTACTTGAAGATAACTAAAGATTGTATTTGTTTGTTTGTTTGAACGCATTAATCTCTGTAACTATTGGTTCAAATTGAAATATTATTTTTGTGTTGGTTTAGAGCATTTGTCAAGGAAGGCTATAGGATAAAATATTACGTTGCGACAAATAGAAGCGAAGAAACAGCGAAATGTAGAAACACGGGGGCACGTTATAAACGGTTGAACCGTTTTCACGTACCCAAATAAATTTGCATCAAAGAATGAATCCTCTTCAAATAATTAAAAAATATCCGCGACAGTAGGTATACGTCTATCTTTTAAGATTAACTTGCAAGATTGACGGGACGCGGACGTCGTCGTGGGTAACAGTTTACCTAAATTTCTCTCTATATAAATAAATAAATATAATTTTTTTTTGGTTAGATTATTATTTATCGAGGAAGGCTTTTGTATAAAATCGCGCTGGGCAGCACGCGCTGCGACTAAGTACAGTTTAAAGAAACTAAAAAATATGTATGAAACAATGATTTATATATATATATGCTTTAAAAATGTTTGCTACAATATATGTCTATATATTTTAAGATTAACTTGTAAGGACGACAGGGCGCGGGCGAAGTTGTTTGTACAACAACAGCTAGTAAACAATAAAGTAATAAATTCATTATTCTATTATTAAATACATAAATCAATTCGATAATTGAATGAGCTTAACGAACTTTGAAAGCTTTATTAATGACGATAATCTCGGGATTATTTCAAAAATATAAAGATACAATAATCTGCTCAATATTTTTTTAAATGACTGAATTAATTTTTATTGTTCAGAACAGAACACAGACAGAGGTAGTACTTAGAACACTTTTTTAAACATTATTAACGAAATCTTCTGAAGTGCAAAGTTTAAAATTGCTAATAAACTAAAATGTCGCGCGCGGTCTCTAATACCACGATGGATCGTTGGCTCCGTGTAACGAGGAAATATGAACCCAAGAAATTATGGGGATTAAGTTACCGAAATGTTTCAGACTTTCGGGTGTGAAAATTTGGACCTTAGTTGTGCCATATAAATTATAACCTTGTATTACTTTAGAATTCAATGTACCGGATTTCATTTTTTGCCTGCTTACATCGTAATATGTTATTTTGTTTTTTCTATGGCGGACTAAAATTTAAATACTTATTACATATTGCGGCAATCGCGTAAGATTATACACTTTAGGCTTAATGATAGACTATTGACTATCTATGTCTTAAAACGTATCCTAGAGCTTATAAGCTATAAGCTTATTCACAAAAACAACGGCTCGCTGTCAAAGAACTGCAGCCTTGCATTTCCATCTCAGCAAGTTCTCCAGATTACATTAAGTTTCAGAGCGTTCCAGCAAGACGGCGCTCTATGTAGAGGCAAATGAGATTGTAAGCACAAGCAACTGGTTGATGTTACACGGATGAAAAACGTATTACACACTACCTACACACTCAACGTAATGAGAAAGCAGCTTTGCAAAGTAAACTTTAAAGTCTTTTGATATTCCCGTGAAGCAATTTGAGGACACCACGTCGCAAGATTCGTTTGATTGAATAAACTCTATTTAAACTTGTTTCGGATGCTTTGCAGCAGTCGTGGTCACGGGGAGACAAAACGTCGGGCCGTAGTTAAAATAATTTTCAAACAAGTTTACCAAATACATATCGCGTTTTAAATCGTTAAAGCGTTTTATTTAAACTCTAGTTTTGATTTAGACTATGTAGATCACTTATAAAATCAAATGTTACGAATCTATATTTTTACAAATATGTATTAAGTTAGACAGGTACCTATATGACATTTTATGCATAACTCTACTTCCTTCCTACGCGGATGGTAAAACCAGCCTCCAAATATTATAAAATAAAATGTATTAGTGTAAAAGCATATTTTAAATACTTATACGAAGATAAATGATCGCTTCGAATGTTAGTGAAAAGCGTGTAGTTTGAATAAGTAACCCTTTGTACAACGTTTTATTCACGGGAATTTTAAGAGAAAAACTTTAGAGAATTCTTGAAGGAAATTGGAAAGTTTCAGGCGGATAAAAAAACCTGGTCGCACGTTGTCGCCCGTCGGCGTTGTGGCTATAAAAGTTGTACCAGACGCTTAGTGGGTTAAGGTCATTTATCAGAACAATTATAAATTTTACGAAGTGCGACGCTAGGAGAAATCGATCTTCTTAAGACTCTAGATTTTTCTAGTTAATCTTTGAAAATCTACCCGACGATAACCGTACAGGTTATTATTATCGGATTATTATTATCGGACAGCCGCGGAGCGTTTCGGTTTCACTCTGTTGATTTTCCAATTTCTAAAGCTCAATAGAGCATATTCAATGTCAGGGCTGATCCACCACAGAACACTTATCAACAGTTAAGCACTATCAAGAATATCAATCAGATCAGTATCGGTATATTTACGTGACATAGAAAACTAGCCGGAGCTTAGCAGACGATCGATTACCTTCAAAATTTAAGATCTATTTGTGTTTTCACTTCTCTTGTGAAAAATTATATTTGATTTCACTTTATTTTAATTATATACATAGTAATTTCACGAAAATTCCACTAAAACTTAATCTTTATTTAATGAAGAGATTAAATTCCCCTTGTGAACAAAGTGTGAAGTTTAACAATGTTTCAAGAAGAATCGCGTAATTCCTGGCCCCACCGCAATAAGGTAGGAACGACACGGCTTTATACAGTAGGTTAGTGAAGTTTACCTCGTCCCAGTGCAGACTGCATTCACTCCTCCAACTCAAGACTCAATTAGTCACAAACTTATTCTATTCTTACTGTTCAGCGAACTATTCTACTGTTGTACTACGATAGACAAACTGCCTTTGCTTATAAGGAATATCAATGCAGTTTCAAATTCCAAGAGAGGGTCTAGGCTGCCGGTGACTTGAACTGATAAATGTCATGTTCTAGGAATATGCCAATTTATCTGATCCGGCGACACTAACTATTTAACATAACAGATTTTGCGTCTACGCACTGAGCATGTTTCGATTATCCAGGTAATCGTGAGATAGTGTTTCAGATAAAGAGAATACAGTGTCTTAGTCACCGAATACCTTTCGATTAATTTCTATTAGTTTTCCTACGTCCTACAAATATTTGTCAAGATGTCTGATAAAAGAGGAATGTGCAGAGTAATATATAGAGCTACTTAATCCGCACAATTATGATAATTCCAGTGAAGTAAAATTTATCCCGTAATAACCGCAAACATAAAACAAAAAACTGGAAAGGGGCCAAAAGCGTAGGAATATGATTACGTAGTTATAACTCGCGGAAACGAAATAAGTCGGAACTGAAATTAAGGCGAAAACTTGCCTAATTTCCAATTCGAGATATTATACCTCTTAAACTTATAACCCATTTCATATTCCGCCTTTTGAATTTTTACTGAGGACCGACGATATTTAGGGGTTTTCAATATAAGCATATACTATAAGATAAATTCGACAGCCCGTCGCGCTTTTCATATTATCCTTAGCCGTTAGTTTCTAACTTACCATATTTGGAACATTTTTAATGAAACAACGAAAT